TCCAGAGCAAACTAGTTTATGCAGCAGCCGAATCGCTTGCTCACAATTTCAATGCCAGTAGCTCACCAAGTAGAATTTTTGCTCACAAGACCCCACAGTTTAGAAGGAGCACTGATCTCTACCACTACCATTTGACCTACAAAGACTTCTCTCTTTGTGCAGAATCAAGCAAAACATTCATTGGGTGCAAAACACCAATGGTTTCACGGAAGCCACAGTGCCAGGGAAGCTGCAGGGCCCAAAGTGTGCTGTGTGGAACTATGACGACATCAGGGGTGTTGGATGACAATTCCTGGTAGTCGGGCATGTACACGCACGGAAATACCTGTGACATGGTGGGCCAAAGAGCCAATAGCCCAAATACAGACTAACTGGCAGGTATCAATCCAGAAGCTTTAAAAAAAATCACAAATACCTCAAGCAAGTTCACAGATGGTTTGACATACAGGTTGTCGGGTGGGGGGGGGTAGACATTGCATTCCCACCCGGGTGTAGAATTTTTTAATTGGCTCTGCTAACTAAACAGTGGCAGCCTGTCCATCCTTTTTTGTTTGTTTGTTTCTAATTGCAACAGTGGACCTACTTGCATAGGTGACATGATTTGAGGTGACATGATTGAGGTTTATAAGATCATGCATGGGATAGAGCAAGTAGAGAAAGAGGTACTTTTCTCCGTTTCTCACAATACAAGAACTCGTGGGCATGCCATGAAATTGCTGAGCAGTCAGGTTAGAACAGATAAAAGTGCCTTTTCACCCAAAGAGTGATTAACACATGGAATTCACTGCCACAGGAAGTGGTGGCGGCTACAAGCATGGACAGCTTCAAGAGGGAATTGGATAAACATATGGAGCAGAGGCCCATCGGTGGCTATTAGCCACAAGGTATAGGTAGGGGCTCTGGGGCAAGTGATGCTCTGTATTCTTGGTGCTTGGGGGGGTCAATAATGTGAGGGCTTCTAGTGTCCTGGCCCCACTGCTGGACCTCCTAATATCACCTGGTGTTTTTGGCCACTGTGTGACACAGAATGTTGGACTGGATGGGCCTTTGGTCTGATCCAACACTGGCTTCTCTTATGTTCCAGGTCTGCCAGTCCACAGAAGTCCATAGGTGGGGCTTGTGTCACTCCTACACCCTTGCACTTATATGTTCTACGCACCAGGCCATATACAAACCAGCTCACACGGTATAAAGGTAAAGGTTCCCTTGCTCGAAAGCCAGTCGAGTCCGACTCTAGGGTTGCGGTGCTCATCTCCGTTTCCAAGCCGAAGAGCCAGCGCTGTCCGAAGATGTTTCCGTGGTCATGTGGCCGGCATGACTAAACGTCGAGGCGCACGGAACGCTGTTACCTTCCCA